GGAGGTTTAATTTGTTTTACTTCTGATTGCTAATTATAGTCATTTAAAAAAAAGGACTCCTTACTTGATTGCCTTTTTTAATGACTATTGTGTCGTTCTACTCTGCCGCTGCCTCGCTCCTCATTACTTTTGGGGGAAACAAACACACTTCGGGTGACTGGTTCCTCAAAATTGCTGGTAATGAGAACGCTTGGGTAACGCAGCTTTCCTTGGACGTTTGGAAAGTCGATCGCAGTGAAAAGCTGATCATCTACAGCTGCAGATGTAACAGTCACATAATGTAAGACGTCACTTTAACTGCTAATTATAAAGCTCCACAGACTGACGGGGCAGGAATTACACCACAGCCTTAATGCCCCTGCTAACGGCCAGCTTGGCATTAGCCTAGTTTGAACTAGTTGTGCTCTTAAAATAACAACAAACACACAAATATATGTGTATATATGTGCATCCGTCTGTTTATCTTTGCATATGCAACAGTGTGCTGATCTGACGGTTCATTCAGTTTAAAGCAGCAGCAGCAGAGAGTGAGTGACGGCAGCGACGGCGGGTTTGTCCTACATAATGACTTAATTGAGGTGGTTAACACTTTGAGGATAATGAGAGCCTCTAGACTACAACAGACCCAGGAGTGAGCACGCACACAGGCACACACACAACACCACCACACACACACAGGGAATCAGTGTCGATTATTAATAGCAGGAACACTAAACGCAGCTCAGCAAATCAGCGCAGGCTCGTCCACTTACTGACTCTGGGTGACTCATCATCACTCAAAGTGGAAGCAATAGGTTTTATTTGATTTGTCCAACACACACACACACACACACACACTAAAAGCTGTAACACTTAATTCAGCTTTAAACCGAACACAGTATTCACCCTCTTCCATTAGACTCATGTACCTGTGACAGTGAACACAACAGCAGCTTCAAACCTTCCTTTTGTGCACGTTTTTTTCTGAGATGAAGAATTCATTTGTCTGAAATTTTAAAAAGATGGACAGAATCTAGATTTCCGTGCCGATCCTTCAGGTTCGGAAGATCATGTGACCTGGGGCATTTTGTCTGCGATCTCCAAAAAATAGTCGGTGAGTGTAAAATCACACTTTAATGATCCACAGCTGCTAACATTAGCTAACTTAACATGGGACTATATACACGTTGGTTTTATCTTCGCCAGCTAGTTACACCTGAAAGCTAATGTTAGCAAAATGTTAGTAAATAGCATCCATTTCACTAACATTAGGTAATTTAAGATGTGACTGTATTTCGCTTGAATGAGCCACAGCTGGAAAAACCAGGAAGAAAACAGAGAGAACTTCCTGCTTTTTCCAGACTTTTCCTACCTGATCCGACTAAACATGAGCGACGGCACAAAGAAGAGTCAGTGTTTCACTAACATATTCAAACACACACCGCCCCATTCTGTCGCATTAGCCCATCAGGGATCGATGCTGAAGGTGTCACATTACCGCTAATGTAATCAGCAGTTTACCACTGGGAGTAATTACAGAGCAGGCGTGAGGCCCGCAGGGCTGCAGAGTCCTTGAACGCTGCAGACGCCGCTCGCAGCGAAACGCCGGCATCCAGACGCATCAGCAGTCTGAAATACCACCGCCACCAAAACAGAGCGAGCCCGTCTGCAGGAGGACTCTTTAGGACACACATTTTACTTTGTGGCCAACTGGGTTTTTAGAAGAACGGTCCTCCAGTAAACAGCAGCTGGTTACCTGCCAGAGCAGCTGCTGGAGGAGGAAGCCGAGGGCGCTCAAAGTCCAACTTTCCCAAAATAGAAACACCGTCAGACATGACAGCGCACACACTTGTTTATTTACGCCACGCTCTACTAGGCGAGTGCTCAAGATTAAAGAGGTTAAAGTGAGGACACGAAGAGGACAGAAGAGCGATGGAGGATGCAGAGGAAGAGTGTATGATGGAGGTGTGACACAGCGGCTGCAGCATCACACTTACACACACACAATGCGGGAAATGTTATTATTGAAAGAGATGATACGTTAAAGCTAAACTGTTGAGCTTTGACTCACTCCACCCACCCAGACAGACAACAGAACTCCTGTCAGAGGGGAATCTTCATACGTCAGTGTCAGTAGTCAGTGTTCACATTCAGAACAGACAAAAGGCCTGAACGTCGCAGGCTTTTTAAAGATCTACAGCCGGCTGCAGCAAGTTCCAGTATAAAGTCTGAAAGCTATAATGATAGCAAAACAACCTAAATAGTTAGTTAATTAACATCAATTGTTAGTTATCTATAGGGGTGTGATCGAAATTACATCTCAATCTCGAACTTCGAACTCAAAGGTAGAATCGACGATGCAGCCACACCCCACCCCCCAAATGTCAGCGTCCAGCATGAATCGCCAAGACGCAACAAAACACGACATACACGTGCTGAACACATCAACGCGACCGAAAATCGAAGCCCCTCCCTTTACTCCCTGAAAATCAGCCAAGTGTGGAAGTATTTCTGTTGTTCATTCACACGTCATTAACACCTAACTCCTACTAAAAACTGAGAAGTGAACAGCATGATCTAGTTACAGTCGCAGAAATGAGCTTTAAAGCTTAAAATGCACATTGATAAGAATACATATTCCAATGACCACTACCCTCCGGGTGTCTCTTCGGAGTGTGCTGAACAATCAAATCATCATTCTGTGGCTTGTTTCATTTCCACTATGTCACGTTCTGTTTAATGTTTGTTCTGTTTACAACCTTGCGGTTTGCGGACCCACCGGTTTTCAAAAGAAAGAAAGCGTCTTCATTCAGAAATAAGAAGCCCCGACGACAACAAGACATAGGCCCAAATGCCAAAAAAAAGTAAATACAATATAAGGGAATGCATTGTAATATTAAAAAAAGATCAAAAATTGAAATCGAATCGAGGATTTGGAGAATCGTGATACCCCTAGTTATCTACTTATATAGTCACACCTACTAAGATGTGACTATATAAGCATAAAAGGGGCGGGACTTAAGAAGGGTGAATAATGAGAATAAGAGCGAGGTTTAAAGAAATATCAGCTTTAAAATCAGAAACTATTGATACACATTTGTTAAAGTTTATCCAGTTCCTCTAATGTTCCCTCTCCGAAACACAACTCCCCAAATTCATATTCATATAAAACATAAAATATATTTCACTAACTGAGAGAAATCAGGTCCTCGAAGTGAAATCAGTCTCTAGTTATACATCGAGCACAGATTCCAGTCAGAGCCTTACAGCCTTCACTGTGTACAGTGTGTGTGTGTGTGTGTGTGTGTGTTTTAAGGATTACATAAAAAGGTCAGTGCAGCTGCAGTATATGCTGAGTGTCAACAGCAATGGGAAGTATTGTTCTTCTTTCCCTTTATTATCTATAGACATGTGCACACAGACGGGTTCGACACTCGCTTGCTTTCGGTTTCAAATTGATCCTGCTACAAAACAAATCCAGTCTGATTGACCTTTGACCTGTGAGCTCACAGGACTGTCGGCTGTGAGAAAGAGGTTAGAACTGACCTCAGATTGTTATTTATGTGCCCGTTTATGTAGCAGAAGCAGAGAGGTCGGGGTGCGTTCAGGGCGCTGGTGGCGAGTAATGACGGTTAAAGACTGCGATTAGAGGCTATAACAACCCGTTAGCCACATTATCTCGTTTACCACCCGGCTGTTTACTGCCCCAGATGTGGCACGTAGGGTAAATTCCACCTGTCCAGTTCTGCTCCGACAAAAGTGACGGTGAACTTCTGACCTTTAAATCTCTCACAAATGGTGGTGGCGATCAATAACAGCGGCAAGAAAAGTGCTCCCGAGGCATTTCTGTGCACATTCAGAATCCCAAACACCCCCTAAATGCAACAAAACGGTGAGCTCAAACTATTATTTTAATCAATAATTAATATCTGTTACTGTTTTTGATTCATTCATTAATTGTTCCGTCTTTATAATGTCAGAAAATAGTGAAAAACGACACATGGAGCCAAAAATGACTCAGTAACTCAGATATACTCAGTTTACAGTTTTATGAAACAGAGAAAAGCCTGAAAACCAGAAGTGTTTGATAAATAACTTATAGTAATTACTTCACTTTTATGTTTTTTTACACCGTCTTCACTGTTACTGTTAACTGGTAATCAGGCCCAACAACCCAAACAACATATACAGGTGATAAAGTCCCACACAGGCCTCTTTTAACAGGGAAATCAGAGTAAAACCTACATAAAAACACACAGGGGTATTTCCAAATCTTCATACATTTCCCCCCAAAATGTTTTTTAACAGATCGTTTTATTAATTTTCACATTTTAACACGTTATTTTTGAGAATTATTCAAAGTGAATGTGTTGAATTTGACACCAAACTGGGACAGTAAAGGCATCTTGAAACCTAAAAGAATGAAGACAATGAATGAAATACACAGAGCAGAGTGGGGGGGGGACACCAGAGAGCTGTGACAGTGAACGCACCACTGGCACATCTTTAATGTATTACTCCTAATATTACCTTTACTGATTACTCCCTGCAAGCAGTAATAAGTTACACTACTAGTTACATTACTTCCCTGTTAATTAACCGATGTGTCAGTTGCAGGACTACAGGTGCGACCAGGAAGCCCTCAAATGCCACAAATGCCACACACAAGCTGAGACCGTGAACGCACCACTGCACTTTTTTTTTCTCCAACTTCCACCATCCTCCTCCTGTCTGTGTTATTATTAGCCCAAACTGTGACATTGAACGCAGCACGGACACACGCACACTCTTACACACACACAGCACACACACACACTCTCTCTCTTACCGGCTGGCATCCTGCCGTTAATGTACCGCAGTTCCTCTCTCGGTCCGGGGGGGGTTAGTTAGCCTCCATGTAGCTTCTCGTGCTGTTTGACTTCACCCTGTAACATCAGATCACCTGTTTACAACCTCACACGACACATTTAACGACCGCCGTTAACGTGAGAGCGGAGAGAACCGGAGAACCCCGTTAACGGAATGTAACGAACAACCCCCCACCTCCTCTTCCCTCTCCCTCTGCCTCTCCCGGTTAACGGACACCGGCTGTCCGCAGGGATTAACCGCAGTAGCCACCCTCTCTCACACACACACACAGACGGTAAAGACACGTCGTACCGGAGCAGACATACCTGCAGGTAAACAGCAACCGGGAGGATTAACGTCACTACGGCGCTTCCTGCTCTACGGTGACAGACAACGCGGAAGTGAGGGCGCTGCTGCCGCCGCTCAGGGTCGGTGGAGGAGTTCATTACAGCAGCCTGCGGACCACCGAGGACTGTTATAGATATATATATATATATATATTAATATATATTATATATGTGTTATTA